TCTCGGGGGGGGGGCGGTGTCTCGGAAGGTTTTCGTGTACTTTTCGTTGGTCCTGACATACAGGTATGTCACTACAGAAGTTTGTGCCTCAACATTGAGGGTTTTTTAAAGAAGATGATCTTCTTGTAACCAAGGACAAGTCCAGGGTTTCTCCAAACCTGTTTTGAAACAGGGAATTCTGAGGGTGTGCCAGTAATAGTCACCTTCAATAGCTTAGAAGGATTAGAAAGGTCCTTCGTCAAGTTAGTTACAGCATAAAGGTGAAATATGTAGTTTAACCTTTATGGAGAGATCCAGATTTTTTTGTATTTTGTCTTTTTATAGCTTTTTTTGGGTTTTGTATTTTTATCATCCATCCATTCCTCCATCCATACGCATTCACTCATACATTCATCCATACACACCTCATCCATTCAATCATTCATTCGTCCATTCACTCACCCATTCACTCACCCATTCACTCACCCATTCACTCACCCATTCACTCACCCACTCACTCACCCATTCACTCACCCATTCACTCACCCATTCACTCACTCATCCACTCACCCATCCACTCACCCATTCATACCATTCATACTGTACGGTGTGAGATGTTGTTGTCCCGTCGTTGTACGGTGTGAGATGTTGTTGTCCCGTCGTTGTACGGTGTGAGATGTTGTTGTCCCGTCGTTGTACGGTGTGAGATGTTGTTGTCCCGTCGTTGTACGGTGTCGATGTTGTTAACCGTTTGTCAGTGTGCAGAGCGGTAAGATGTTATGACCGGCTCTGCACGGCGCTGTGCGCTGTTTAGACCTTCTGCACAAGTTTGCCGTTGCGGAAAGACCACACTTCCACGTTCTGACCTGGGTACTCCTGGGAGATCTTACCCTGGGGGGGGGGGTAAAACTGGCGTCAGGACTTGGCTACGGAGGAAAGACGTGTAGGAGGAAAGAGAAGAAGAACGGAACGAAAGAAACATTGTCAGAGTGAATGACAGAGAAGAATGTTACAATCAGGCACGGCTCTGGATACTCTTCGCGTATCCAAGAGTGTAGATTTGCCACAGTTACAGTTCTGGATAAGCGTGGACCACCCAGAACCGTGCCTGAGCATGGCTCCTGTCCTGCCGTACCTTCAGGCACCAGTTTGCTGGTTGTGAGACGTTGAAGGCCTCCGCTGCCTCCAGCAGCTTTAGTGCAGAGCCGGTGGGTTCGCCGTGCACGTTCAGGGCGTCCTCCGCGCCGTCCAAGGCGGCCTGGGGGGACACGAGAACAAGTCGCTAAACATCTATCTACTCAGATTCTCTACTTAACACCGCCGAAGTGTTCCTTGCTATTTTTTGGCCTTCTTTGTTATTTTGTATTTACTCTGGGAAGCTCTCCGTCGACACAGCTGTTTTAACACCACGCGTGTTCTAGAACGTCGGCGCTTCGTCTGTGAAGACATCCTGGCGGGCCGTATTCATGTTCAACACTTAATTATTTCGCTTTTTCTTCTTACAAAAACTCAAGTATCTTCTATTTCCCAGTGCAGTTCCCCAGGTACACAGGTAACACATCAAGTAAACAAATAAACAAACCTACAACCGTGTAGCGTATTTGTGACCCCAGGTAGATTTACTAGGACTGTAGGTTTTGGAAGTTATCAGGACTTCTATCTACAAGTATATCATATTGTCATATTTTGTCTGACTCTCATGACGTCCCCGGAAATTTTTCAGCGGACTGACTTTAGTTTTGATTTCATCAACAAACAAACAAACAAACAAACAAACAAACAAGCAAACAAACAAACAAACAAACCTGGTACAGCATAGCGTTGACACTGAAGCCGGGCTGTGAGCGGGCGGGGCGGCGGCGGCTCGGCTGGTCTTGTGCCGGAATCTGCCTCCCCAGCCTCCCCAGACCCTTCCGCACGGAGAGGAACAACAACCGTTCCCGTAAATATCAACAGGATCGGGAATAAAAACGTCTTTTCTATCATCAAACCGTCCGCAGATTAAAACATCAGATTCAGGTAGTTTCTGTAGACACCGTACGGACGTACCTACACCACCAGGTTTATAGTACCGTAAATGTCTTCGACTCTGAATTCCTCCGGAGAAAACAAACAAACAAACAAACAAACAAACAAAAAACCCTGAGGGGAAACTTAAATCAAAATCCCACAAGTTCTACCCCCCCAAAAAAAACACAGAATAATAGCGAACAACGTTCAGTGATAAAAAGTAGACAACATCCCAAACTAACAGGTTGTCTGTTTGTTGGCACGGAAGATAGCAGGACGGTAGAAGTACACTAAAGTTTCCGAATGTCAGGGTTAATCTGAACCAACGTTCAGCACGGAAGAAAACAGAAGATTTTGGCGGCAAGTTTTACCGTGATGAAGTCCCAGCCGGGACCTTCTGCGGGGATGTGGAGCCCCCTAGCGGGCAGCACCTGTGATGACAGTGACAGACATCTGGAGAATAGCTTTGCTAGCGATGCCATCTTATATGCGAAGAGCGGCTGATTTTTGCGTCTGTTCGATGTGACATCGAGGCGGTTGTGTTGACGGGTCGGCGCGTCGCTATGGAACATCTCCCGGCGGCCTCATTGTTCCAGAACCGCGTCATAAACACAGGCGGCGGCGGGAAGAACAAAACCAGATCTTCCATCTCATACACACAAACATACATACAGAACACACAGGGTTGGCAAAGGAAGGGATGGTTGGAGATTTTGAAAATTACCAGGTAAAACGAATGGAAGAGATAGTTTGATATTTTGAAACTGACCAGGTAAAAACGAGTCTGAAATGGCGGATACTGTTCAGTACGGCAGTAACTTATTGGCTAAGCTTACGTTACTGTGTGGTTAGTTTAGGTTTGAAAAGAGAACAAAGGAAGGCGCTTCTGGACTAGTGTAGAGATCGTTCCTTGGCCTTGCTGAAAAATGTGCTGATTTACTCATAAATGAACGGTGGACTGGAACGGTGGACTGGAACACCAAACCTAACGTAGCCTGCGCCGCGTGAGGAAACAGACAGAAAACGGCCGGCTCTGTCCTTGGTGCTGAATTCACTGTCCGGGCGGACAGGTTCTGTTTATTCTTACTTCATTGTTTTATCATTGCTTTCTGTTTCTTTCAGTAACCACGTATACGTACAGACACAGTATGTACGGCGTGTCTGTGGACTGGAAGGGTTGAACACCATATCTAACGTACCCCGGACTGCGAGAGGAAACAGACAGAAAACGACCGGCTCTGTCCTTGGTGCTGAACTCAATGTCCGGGCGGACAAGTTCTGTTTATTCTTGCTTTATTATTTATCCCTACTTTCTGTTTCTTTCAGTAACTGCGTACAGACACAGTGCGTACGGTGTTTTTGAGGACTGGAAGGGTTGAACACAATGTCTAACATAGCCTGCGCCGCGTCAGGAAACAGACAGGCTCTGTCCTTGGTGCTGAACTCACTGTCCGGGCGGACAGGTTCTGTTTATTCTTACTTCATCTTAATGTCTGTATCCGTAGGACTAAAGAGAAAATACAGCATGTGCCGTTACATCATAAGTATGAAGGGTATCTGTATCCGGTATAACCGCCCTTTGGCATAACTCACCAGCTTCGCAGGCAGGCGGCGCGGCGGCAGCTAGCTATATTACACCGAACGACTTGTTACACTCAATCTTTGCACATTTAGTTGCAGGAGTTGTTTAAAGCTTTCTAGTGATGATGCCCAAACTGTGCTGTGTGTCTATCTATATTATCGGCATGCAACAGGAGGGAATTTCGAACGTCCCGCCTGGTGATGACGCAATCTGCCGGCAACAGCTATTCTGTGGGTCAAAGTTCACCATGTGACACTGCGGTCAGCGGGCGAAGTCCGACAGCCGAGAGGACGCGACTCTAACCCCGTAAACAGTCACTAACGATACGTTAACGGCCCAGGCATGCCTGTAGACAATCATTAACATTCTAAGCATGCCTGAGACAATGATTAACAGCGGGAAATTCCACACTTTCTCCGTGCAAACGTGCACTGAGTGACAGTGAACAGTTGACGCCAGGACAAGTCTGACCTGGGACGTCTCCGCGCAAGTTGCCAGACTTTATATATAGTGCAGCCGAGTTTGCCAGACAGTCCTGCCGTGTATAATAATACATAACAAGTGTGCTCTGACAGGGAACAGTTCGCTAGGACACGTCTGACCTCAGTCCTGGGAAGTCTTCACGCAAGTTGCTCGACTTCAGTGCAACCAATCGCGAGTTTGACAAGACTCTGCCCGAGTGCAGCCGAGTTTGCCAGTCTGTCCTGCCGAGTAAAGTCATGCCGGGATGGGAGACTACTGGCTTCTGGTCAAGTTCCTGGTGCCGCTAGCTTTTACCACTATCGCTATAGACATAGGAGAACAGGTACACACACTCACTTATAACTTAATAGTACTGGTCATTTTTTTTGCTGCTAAATCTCTAACCACAGACACATTTACCGGCATAATATATCATAGGCTATATATAGGTTAAATGTTCATCGCTATAGTCTACATGTAGATGTGGGAAAACAGGTATAGTACAGGAAATACTAACTCGGTAATATGTCCCTAGACTCTTTACCGGTAACGTCTATTTAAGCGCGTTATCTGAAAATCACCCAACACCAGGTTGACTGGGAACTTTTTTTACTAGTTTTCGCCAGTACGGTGTAGGCGAATAGTTGTGTTGAACATGGTACTATTTATTCTAGATCTACGCAATGGATTAAAGTGTTGCTTCAGTTGGTTTACAAAGTACACAGGACTTGGGTCACTGACACTAAGGTCAGGCCACAAACTGCCCTACCGGTTGTTCTGGTTAACCCCCCCCCCCGTTCCCACTATGATAGCAGAGTGACCAAAAGTTTAACACATTGCTCAATAAAATGGAATAAAGACCTTTATTGCACTTTTGTTCTCTTACAGGCTAAGTATGGGTCATGGTGATAAAATTTAAGTAATGTGTACAATAACAGTCATTCAAGTCTTACCCCATTTGATATTAAAGTATTAAAATTAAAATTAAGAATTACTGATGAGGACATTATGGATAAACTGTAAATACCTACAAGTTGTGTATTATAAAAGTAGCACAAAGGATTGTAAATACTGACGTAATTAAGACTTTTGTCTGCATGTGGTATAATGAAATAAAAGTTTCAAAAGTTTCAAGTTTTACTACTAGTATGTGATAACATTCCCAATGTTCTCCCCAGGTGCTGAATCGCGGTGTAGCGTTCTCTGAGAACGTGACGGCGAGTTACGGGCTGGCGTTCACGTTTACCAAGGTCCTGGCCGGCCCGGCGCTTGAGCTGAAGAACTTTGATGCATGCTAGAATGTGATAACTGTTACTTCTTCCTCTGTCCAGGCACTGAATCGTGGTGTGGTTTTCTCGGATAACGTGACGTGAGCTACGGGCTGACTGTAAGGTCAGGCCACTGTAACGCCCTACTATACCGGCTGTTATGGTGTTGATATT